AGCAGCATGACCGTACACCTGGATCAGGTGAACGGCGCGAAGAGCCTCACAGAGCCGCCACAACTGCGCCAGGCTCGCTTCCGGGACCTCAGCCATGCGAGGGGGCCCAGGCAAGGTCGGGAGTATCGGTGCATCAAGAGCGGATGAGGGTGCTGGATCAGCAGGCAGCAGAGGCGGGTACTGTGCAGTCACCGCTCCTCCTGCCGCAGTCACAAATTCCAGTCCCGCCATCGGGGGAACCCTTGGTAGCCGCAAGCGACGATCTCGTGTGGCAGCAGACGCGGCATGGACGGAGGGAGCCGGAGCAGGAGCAAGAGGAACGGGAGCAACAGCCTGACGGGGTGGAGCCGCAGCCACGGGAGAAACGGCCGGAGGAGGGGTGGCTAGAGCAGGAGCACGGCGCTGCACCGCCCTCTCCTCGCGTATCGCCGCTGAGACAACACGCTGCACATCCGCCAGTGAAATCGGGTGAACATACACCGAGCCGCCGCCATAACCGCGACCTCCCGCCCATCCTCCATGACCGCCATGTTGCGCATGCCAGTTCGCCTGTGAGCAGTTACGCCGGGGGGAATCGCGACGGCGTTGGGATGACTCCCGCTCCTCACGGGGCGCAGGAGAATGCGGGCGAGAGGAGCGTTGGCCCTGCTGATGACCCGCATATGCAGCAACAAGCGCCGGCTGGACGGCCCCCGCTGGCGCCACATTCGGGCCCTGGCCGCCAGTGGTGGCGGACACCGCCATCGGCGACGAACCAACAGCCGCGTCGGTCGCAATAGGGACAACAACGGCGGGCAGTGCCGCAGGGAGCTCAGGCATGGGCGGCGCAACACCAGGATCGGCAGCGGCAAGCGGCGCCGCAGGATTCACAGGGACAACCAGTGGACCAGGGGCATCTGGTGCGGGACCCGCGACAGGAGCAGGATGGCCCGGCTCAGCAACAAGGGCCGACGGGGTGGGCACGGGAGACACTGGAGCCCCACACGTCTCGAGGTCCGGAGTCGGAGGGGCAGAGACACCAGCGAGCGGGGGCGTTGGCTTCGGGGCAGGGGGGACTCGCGGCTTCATTGCGGCAATCCCCGAGGCAGACACCGGCGGTGACCTTTTGCGCGCCGATGGCGCAGCGGCAGCGGGCTTTGGCGATGGCCACGGGTCTCCAGCAATCACCATCACGAGGCAGGAGGAGGCGAGGAGCAGGGTGCCGTGAAGGACGCAGAATTGAGGGAGGACCGGAGGACGCGTTTCAAGCGGCGGCATGAAGGGCTTTAACACAGCTGGATGAGAATACTGACCCAGAGGAGCAAAACGACCCGCCTTATAGGGAGGAGGCACAACCGCCGAGCGAGGAGGACGACGAGGATGAAGAGAGCGAACGACAGGCAAGACGTAGTGGAGGGAACAGGAGAGGAGTAGCAGGGCAAGCAGGAGGTACACGGGTGCCACAAGATGGGGATCCGACAGTCATCATTCCAACCCCGCCCTCTACACGTCCTACGAGCTGCGGACGAACAAATCGATCACGGAGGGTCCAGGAGGGTGCGGCTTGCCAGTCCCAAAATGCCCGCTATTTTTCTCCAGAAGAACTGGCAAGGCAGACAGACAAATTCACCGAAGTGGCGGACTAGGACATTTCGCCTCTATGCGACGGTCGCCAACCTACGCTGTTACGACGACTACCACCAGAACTGTGTGAGATCTTTTCGCTCGTCATACTAACACCACTTCTACACCTCTCGCGAAACCCGTGACTTCCATCGCGGGATGGAAGTTACTTCTATTTCTCCCGCGCCTGACTCTGCGACAAGGTTCAGCGAAATGACCCGATTGGTCCAAAATCAAAGCCCGGCTCCGGGCATTTCAACGTGGCGAGTGGCAGCAGCTGTACTTAGACACAGTTGAAGCGGTCAACACACCACCCCCGCCACGTCACCAGCCTGACGACGTGGGCACCATCAGCAGAGCGGAGGGACTGGCAAAGAAAGGAAGCCTGCGCCGAGCCGTGTTGGCGCTCGAGTCAACGCTAGTCTGTACACCGAGCCCAGAGATTTGGACGAACTCCGCCGAAAGCACCCCGCAACCGAACCTGACCCCCTGACCTGGCCTGCCATCACCGAACCTTCCACCCTCGAAATTTCCTACGCGGATTTTTCGAAGATGCTCGGCCGATGCGAGAATGGTGTTGGGGCTGGCCCGAGTGGAATGACATTCGAACACCTACGCGATTCGCCAGTAACAAATGCAACCGTCTCAACCTATCTGCACGCCTTAGTAAACACGATCCTGAGAGGAAAACTGCCACAGCCAGTCGCAGAACTACTCACTTCATCACGACTGGTAGCCCTGGCCAAGCCAGAAGGTGGGGCCCGCCCAATAGCAATTGGCGAGAGTCTGACTCGCCTGACGGCAAAAGCTGCGCTGTCAGCCCTAGGCGAGGCTGCTCGGGGATATTTTCTCCCTCTACAGTATGGTGTAGCTGTGCTAGGGGGAGCGGAAGCAATCATTCACAGTGCCCGAGCATACACGGATGCACACCCCAACTGCCTTATCCTACAGACCGACATCTCCAACGCCTTCAACAGCATATCGAGACAAGCCATAGCCACTGCTTTACAAGATCCGGCCCTATCACCACTATTACCGCTAGTTCAACTGACCTACGGCCACCCATCATCACTTTTCCTGGACGCTAGCTTCAATAGCGCACCACTCACTAGTGAACGCGGAGTACGACAGGGGGACCCCTTGGGTCCACTTCTATTCGCGGTCGGAATCCATCCCGCATTAAGAGCAATAGCTATAGCACATCCCGGCGTACTATGCCTGGCATACGCCGATGACATCAGTTTCCTAGGCGAACACAGTGAGACCATCGCGGCCTTTTCCTTCTTCACGACTCAACTATCCCACGTAGGCCTGCGACACAATCCTGAGAAATGTGTCGCATGGAGTAGCCGCCCGATAGACCAGGAAGTACAGCTGCCGCCCGGGTGCCGACTAGTACTGAGGGAGTTCGGCTTCTCGGTAGCTTTCTAGGAACACCAGACGGCGCCGCTTTGTTCCTATCCGCGCAGCTACAGGCCATGTCCAAACCACTACCTCTGATAGAGAGAATGGACCCACAGATCGCATCCCTCCTACTCACCCGCTGCATTTCACGACGAGTAGCATACCTCACACGAACTACTCCTCTCCACGTACTAGACACAAACACTTGGTCCCAGTGGGGTAGGGACCTGCTGTCCACACTACCTACAGCATGCGGCATTCGCCTACCAATTGACGACACGGAACAGACTCGGGTCTGGAAGCAGTCGTCACTCCCACCGTCATTAGGAGGCATCGGCCTCACAAATCCCACGGTAGAAGGAACGTTCGGCTTCCTAGCTAGTTTAACGCAAGCTTCACATCTCCTTAAAGGCGTACCTCTGGAGTCAGAAACGGCCCTGATGGCGGTTAGAAATCACATGCTGCTACCGCAAGACGTCAACACTGCTCTACACCGCTGGCTAACCGAATGTGAGAGGGCACTGCCGCAGGAGGCCAGGGTCATCCTAGACAAGGAAAGGCTCGAGCCCTCAGATTTAAAGCTACAGCATGAGCTCGGGGTGAGAGTGCAGGGGAGCAGATTTTCCACACAAGTACAGGCAATACGGCTCATGCGGCTGAACCCACTCTCAGGCCATACCCAACGGTTCTTCTCTCTCTCTGGCTACGGCACGGGGGACTGGCTGACGGCATTCCCAATAGAACACACCCGCCGCGTAGGTCCCGAGCACTTTGCCAATGCCGTCCGCTTCAGGCTTGGGCTTCCGTTCTCTACACCTAAAAACTGTGACTGTTCTAAGCATGTCGAGATCAAAGACCCACGACTGCCAAACCACCTATTTCGCTGCAGCACTGGCAAGCACCGCATCAACACGCATAACGAGCTGCGGGACGCATGCATTACAATGGCGGAAGATGTTGGCTTCATAGTCCACAGTGAATCGGCCGCCTACTGCCCTATTGAAGAACAGACCGCCGATTGGGAGCGGTCTATGCCTGTGATGTCACCATCACAGATCCCATCAGCACCCGGGATCCCAATGCTACTAAGGGGAGGGGATGGGCAGCAAGAGAGCAGGCGGACAAGAAAATCGGTCACTACGCTAACCGGCCTGACACGGTCGGCTTCTTCCCCCTTGCAGTTGAGACATATGGCTGCCCATGTGCGGAAGTCCCACAGTTTTTGAAGTTATTGGCGGACACAGCTGCTAGGCGTCATTTCAACGCCCAACCGACCTCCCACCATGCAAGGAGGTTCCTACACCTCTCCAGGCAGCGCTGGTCCGTGGCTCTGCAACGAGCACAGTCAGTGAGATACCTTATCAAGTCCTCTCAGACGGCCGTAGCTGAAAACCCCCCAGTGGGGGGGGTGCAGTCCGAGCTCCACCTGGGGGACTGCTGTGCCGTGCTAGAACCTCTCATGGAGGTGTAGGTAGATAGTTGTGTGCAGAAATATAGTTGTTTGCTTTTTGTTTGCATCCCTAGCATCTATACCTTGCATGTTTGTACCCTTTCGATATATCAATACACGGACCATTAGAGAGAGAGAGAGAGAGAGAGAGAGAGAGAGAGAGAGAGAGAGAGAGAGAGAGAGAGAGAGAGAGAGAGAGAGAGAGAGAGAGATGGCATAGGCTTAGTCCTTAGCCATTTCTAGGCCTCTCTACTCTGGGACCTAGTCCTTAGCCATTTCTAGGCCTGTTTCCCTAGTATAAAGGCCCTGGATCTAAGCTAGTGGGCTCATTATTCACTGGTGAGTTAGGATCACTCTCAAACCTGCCGGCTCGCGTGAGGGGTGGCAAGGATAGTGGCAGAACAAGTCATTTAGCAGCATGTGGTACACCAGGAGCCACTAACAAGGAAGGACAACAACACCACCCTCAGGCCGGAGGATTCCAGCATGGGGAAGCCCAAGGCAAGGCCCAGCACCACGGGAGCCTGCAAGGGAAAACCACCTGTTACTCGGCGAGGATCCAGCACAGCCTCCCGTCCATCCAGCGTAGGACGGATGCGGCTGCTGATACAAGACCAAGTGGACTCCCCCGGGCAGACTCAGCAAGCCTTACCATTGCCCGGGGGCCTGGCCCGAGCGCGGCACCTGGAGCACCCTGCACAAGGCCGATCAGGGGTAGATAGTGCAGCATCTCCGTGGCCGCTGCCACCGCCGCAGACTGCTCCGCCGGCAACATCCCCCCAATCTCCAAGCCCTGCCGTACCAAACACACGTGGAGCTGGTCCAGTATGTACGACAGCAACGTCAAGCACGTCCCCACGTGCACAACGCGCTGCTCGATGAGGGGAGGTGTTGCGGCTGCAAGAGCAGCAGCAAGAGGAGCAGGCGGGACAGGAGGGAGTGGCGGCACTGGGGGAGCTGGCGGATGGTGCATCTGAGGCTAGGGCAAGGGAAACTGGTTTATGGGAGGATGCTGCTGCTGTGGGGCCAGGTGTGAGGCTGCAGGGGGGGGCGCTTGTGGCCGTGGTGGCAGATTCGACGGAGTTGGGGCAGATGTCGCGCCGGCCTGCTGCTGGGACTGCTGCCGCCTCTGACGACGGCTTAGTCTTGCTCCCACTGTCGGAGGAGGGGCCGGCTGCGGAGGAGTTACAAGGGGAGCCGGGACTGGCGGATTCACCGGCGCCAGTAGGGGCAGAATCCCCGCCAACTCTCGAAGCGCCTGTGATTGCTGCGGCTGTAGCTGAGGTGGTGGGGCGGTAAGACCAATCCCCGATCGAACCGTCGACGCCGGCCGCCGCGGAGTCCGCCGAAACGCCTGCAGCTGCCGCGGGCGCAAGCATGCAGGGGCACGGCCACGCGGAGGGTGATACTGAGGGTCCCGCGGTCGTCGCCGCTGCCGGCGCTACCCCGGCGAGGAGGAAGCAGAGGCTGCGCGCCCAGCCAGCACCGAGGCGGCCTGGAGCAGGGCTGGGACCTGGGGCCCCGGGACCCCTCCGGGGCTGGCTTCGGCAAGAGCAGTCGCCACCAGGGCAAGCGCGTTTGATGTCATCTGCTCCCCAGCCTGCAACGGGACCCAGCGAGAGGATCAACACAGGAGAGGCGGGTCAGGCACAGCACGGAGCCAGGCAGCCAAGTCAGGGGCCTCAACAAGTGGAAGGATTGCCCACCACCCGGCTAACAACTCACCGAGAAACACGGAGCGCAGCGAGGGGTCGGGGAATCGTGTGGGGTAGGCCGACTGGCGCATGGCGGGCAACTATGGCGACCCCCTGGGTTCCGGCCGGCAGGGGTTTAAGGCCAGCATTGGAGAGAGGTGGCGGTGCCGATGTTCCACTAGTGGGGCCACGTGGTGGGAGAGGCGGAAGGGGAGGCACGCGAGGGGGAAGGATCCCTCTGCTAGAGGGAGAAGCCGCGATCTTGAGATCGGGCACGTGGCGAGATCGCCACGATCGTCCAGAGCAGGTGGCTGCGCCTGCCGCCGAGGAGGATGTGGGCTCTGACAACTCTCAGAACGGGAGTGACTTTATGCCCTCTGGCTCAGTGGCATCGGAGGAGGTCTCCCTGGGTGACGAAGAACACGAACATACGTCAACCAGGAGGCAAAGGAGAAGGGAGAGAGCAGGTGGTCTACCACCACCCACCGACGAGGGAGCAAATCGGGCGGCAGGCGCGGAACCACAGCCATCCGAGAAATCTCCCGCTGACCTGGCAAAGGATGACCCCATCTGGCATCTGGCTGGCGCTTGGGACACTGCACCACTACAGCGAATGGACCAACCTTTCCTAGTTCGGCGGTTGCCCCCAAAGGTCTTGGAGAGCTACACCCGGTGCCTGCTGGCACCCCTCCTGCGATTGGCTACGAAACCGGACTGCGTAGGAGCCTGGACGGTGCTGCAATATCTACCCCGGCTGACCCTTCAACCCCTGCCGGAGCCAGTGGAGGGGAACCGCTGGATAAAGATCGAGACGAGGCTGCACCACTTTAGGCTCGGGGAATTTGCTGACCTCTACACTGAGGCATGCGCTATACCCGTTACAGAGGCCCCGACACGACACCAACCTGATGACGCTGGGCTGTGTGCAAGAGCGGAGGGGTTGATTAAAAAGGCGAACATTTCCAAGGCAGTAGCCGCGTTACAAGTGACCCCGCTGGCAGAAGCAACACCAACTACACTTGCGGCCCTACAATCGAAGCACCCAATTGGGGAAATACCAATCCCGAGCTGGGTTACCAGCCGCACAGTCTCGCCAATCTCGTCAGTTAGCCTGACCCCTGACGATGTTCGCGAAGTACTGGCGAAATGTCCGAACGGGGTTGGAGCGGGCCCGTCCGGCACTTGTTTCGAGCATCTAAAAGACCAGCCCACTGCAGCGAGGAGGTCCTCATACTCCTTACTAAGGTTGTCCGCCAGCTACTAAACAGTGTGCAGACAAAAGAAGTACGCGACCTACTCCTACCGTCGCGGCTGATAGCCCTCGAAAAGCCAGGAGGGGGGGTACGTCCTATCGCGATAGGCGAGGCACTACTTAGGGTGGCGGCTAAGGCAGCACTACGAGAGCTAGCACCGGCGATTCGAGAGTTTTTCCTTCCGGTCCAGTTCGATGTCTCACTTCCCGGCGGTGCGGAATGCGTCATCCACGCAGTACGCGCCCTGCTTCGTGAGAACGAGAACCACATCGCCCTCCAGCTCGATATTGAGAATGCGTTCAATTCAGTCGAGCGGGAGGCCTCCTTCACGGCGCTGCAGCTGTCCGATCTCCATCAGCTCCTGCCATTCGTAGGGACGCTATATGACTCCCCATCGCGGCTCCTGGTCGACCCGGCTATGGGAGTCGACCACATCATCAGCTCCCGTGGTGTGCGTCAGGGGGATCCCCTCGGCCCGCTCCTGTTTGCGGTGGCGATCCAGCCGATCTTGATGTGCATAGCATCCACTCACCCAGGGGCGGCTGTCATAGCGTACGCCGACGACATCACAGTGGTGGGACCGCGGGAGGAGGTGTTCAAGGCGTTTGACGTCATTGCCACCGAGCTCGCGAAGCAGGGACTTCGATGCAACGTGGCGAAGTCATCGGCATGGGGACCGTAGGAGGGAGATGAGGGGCTGGCAGGGCCACCACACGGCCTGCTAATGAGCACGGAGGGGATCACGGTGTTGGGAAGCCCTATCGACACACAGGAGTACTGCACCGCACAGGTTCGGCAGGCGCTCAACAAAGCGGCGGCACCCGTCCCCTTGATCGCGCAACTACACCCACAACACGCCCTGCTCTTACTCACCCGCAGCATCTCCCGCATGATCTCTTAACTGCTCCGCACCACTCCGAGCGGCACACTGGAACGGGAGGAGTGGAGGGCGTGGAGCGAGTCTCTGTTAGGGGCGGCGCTGACAGCAGCCAAGCTCAGGATCCCCTCGACTGAATTGGAGCAGAGCCTCCTCTGGCGACAAGCGACACTGCCTGTCCGCCTGGGAGGTCTGAGCATCATCGATCCCCTTTCAGAGGCACCGGCGGCGTACATCGCCTCCCTCACAGCGGCGCACCACCTGCTGCAGCAGATGAACCTGCGGGAGATGTAGCTACTATCACGGGCAGTAACCCTCCTGTCCAGGGACTGGGTTCCCCCGCCCCCGGAGACGAACGTGCTTGTGACACTAAAGGAGGGCTTGCCGGCAGATGCACAGACAGTACTCCAGGCCTACAGAGCAGGCCCGGCGGGCCAGGATAACCTGCAGCTGATTTTGTCGAAGCACATCAATATCACACGTGCACGGGAGCTACTGGCCAATACATTAGTTGACAGACCAGGGGAGGACTAGGGACATGGAGTCAGACTGGTTAGCCTAAAGGGGGTGGGGGCTGGAGATTGGCTTCACGCGGTGCCGACGAGATCTGACCTTACATTTGCCCCTGGTCAGTTCTCGCTAGCCCTCGGTTTCCGCCTAGGGATGGCCCTTCCAGTCACAGTCAACTGCCCCTGTAAGCATGACAATTCAGAGATTGCGGACAGCAGCCTAGCCAATCACCTGCTCCGTTGTGGTGAGGGGGGGGGGATGTGGTGAGAACACACAACGCGCTGGTCTATACGGCTCTGAGGTTGGCACGAGAAGCGGGCTTTAACACATTCCATGAGACGGCGACATTCTCTCCCCCCGTCCTCCGCAAGCGGGCGGATCTAGCGTTTTAGGATAGGGAGTCTGCAGAGACCTGGGTCACCGATGTAACAGTGACAGACCCGGTACTGCAAAAGCGGGACCCACGAGTACGGAAGCCGCCGTGGTGGGCGGGCAGGGAAGCTTCCAAGAGGAAGCATCGCCTGTATGAGGGCCGGCCAGACTATGTGGGGTTCTTCGGCCTAGCAGTTGAGACCTACGGGGCACTAGCAACGGACACGGTGCAGTTCCTACGACTGTTGGCGGTGGCCATAGCGAGGAAAAAGTTCAGGCAGGGGCCACTCACAACCACAGCCTCCCGCCTCAACGCGCACTACGGCCAACGCTGGTCGGTCATGCTGCAACGCTCGCAGGCCATCTCGTTCCTCAACAAAAGCAACACGGCGGCTGAAGCAGCCTTCCCCCAAGCACCTACGGACCCCTGGGAGCCGAGCCTAGGGGACCTCTGGCAGGTGCTTGACGATGACCTTGCAGGGGTGTAAACACAGGGGAGGAAGTAACAAAGGCGGCAGGGGCGGAGTAGGGCTGGCTGTAGTGGAGGTGTGAGTTGAACATTAGGGGTTAGAAGGAATGAACCCGCAGCTGAGAGTCCTTGGTAGGGGCGACGCTCACTGCTGCCAAGCTACGGATCCCGGCCAGTGAGCTGGAACAGAGCCTCTTGTGGCGACAAGTGACCCTGCCCGTGCGCCTCAGGGGTCTGGGCATCATTGATCCCGTTTCTGAGGCACCGGCAGCGTATATTGCATCCCTGACAGCAGCGCACCACCTGCTACAGCAGATGAACTTGCGGGAGCAGGAGCTGTTGGCACGGGCCGAGACGCTGCTGTCCAGAGAATGGGTCCCCCCGCCCCCAGCGTCAAACTATCTGGTGGTACTAGAGGAGGGGCTGCCGACAGAGGCACGGACAGCACTACATACCTACCGGGAAGGCCCCCAGGGGCAGGGTAACCTGCAGCTCCTCTTGTCCAAGCACATCAACGCGGTAAGGGCCAGGGAGTTGCTAGCCGACACTGTGGTTGACAGACCGGGGGAAGACCAGGGGCACGGGGTCCGGCTAGTGAGTTTCAGGGGAGTGGGGGCCGGGGATTGGCTACACGCAGTGCCGACGAGATCTGACCTTACATTTGCCCCTGGTCAGTTCTCGCTGGCACTCGGGTTCCGCCTCGGGATGGCCCTACCAGTCACGGTCAAGTGTCCCTGCAAACACGACAACTCGGAAATCAAGGATACTAGTCTGGCGAATCACCTGCTCCGGTGTGGGGAAGGGGGAGATGTGGTGAGGACGCATAACGCCCTGGTCTACACGGCTTTGAGATTGGCGAGGGAGGCGGGCTTCAACACCTTCCATGAGACATCGGTGTTCTCCCCCCCGGTCCACGGCAAGAGGGCAGACATGGCGTCCAGGATAGGGAATCAGCGGAGACCTGGGTCACGGATGTAACGGTGACTGACCCAGTGCTGCAGAAGCGGGACCCCAGGGTGCGGAAGCCACCGGGATGGGCTGCCAAGGAAGCTTCCGAGAGGAAGCACCGCCTGTATGACGGCCGCCCTGACTATGTGGGCTGTTTTGGCCTGGCAGCTGAGACCTATGGGGCGCTAGCTACTGATACTGTGCAGTTTCTTAGGCTGTTAGCGGTAGCCACAGCAAGGAAGAAATTCAGGCAAGGGCCGCTCACCACCACCGCCTCTCGCCTCAATGCACACTACCGCCAACGCTGGTCAGTCATGCTGCAGCGATCCCAGGCGATCTTGTTCCTTAACAAGAGCAACATGGCAGCCGAGGCAGCCTTCCCCCAAGCCCCTGCGGACCCCTGGGAGCCGAGCCTAGGGGACCTCTGGCAGGTGCTTGATGATGACCTTGCAGGAGTGTAAGCACAGCCAGGAGTGAACCAGGGATGTAGGGTTGAACAGGAGGTTGGGGGGACCTTGGAAACTCAACTGATAGCGCCAGGCCGCCTTGGCAGTAGCCACTTGGTGAATTTCCTTAGCATCTTAAGGCTGGTCTTGTTTGCATGCTGGTTTATGTGCCCTGCTTGTTGCCTGCCTAGGTTAGCCTATCGGCCAGAACCGAATCCTACATGCTTGTACCTTTTCCACCAACATTAATGCATGACGTAGGGCTGACCCACAATCCTGAGAAGTGCGCTGCATAGAGTGCAGCGGCCACAGATCCCCAGCAGCTGCCCCAGGGGGTCCCATTTCGCACGGAAGGGCTGAGGGTGCTGGGAAGCTTCATTGGTACGGCGGAAGGAGCAGCAGCCTTTTTACGGTCTCAGCTAGAGAATATGTCGTCCCCGCTACCCCACATAGCGTGCATGGACCCACAGGTGGCAGCGCTGCTGCTAACGCGTTGCATCTCCAGGCGCATCTCATACCTTGCCCGCACCACCCCCCTGTACCTCCTTCCCGAGGCCGAGTGGTCAAGGTGGGGCCGTGCTCTGCTGTACACGCTGTTGGATGCTTGCGGGGTGTGCCACCCGAGGGGCGAGACAGAGGATGGCCGGATCTGGGACCAAGCCTCACTTCCACCTAGCCTAGGCGGCCTGGGCCTC